CCATCTGTGATTCTTGATTACTTAAAATCTATGACAAATGTAGAACCTTTAGCAACCATATCATACTCTGCTAAATCTGATAAAGCTGTTGTTTCAGCTCTGCAAATTGCATCTGATAACATTGTTGCATCTGTTGAACCACCAAAATCTGCTTTCAAACCATACTCAAATGCACCTTTTGATGTAGTTACCCCTCATAGAAGAGCAAAACCTCATTTGCTTAATGCTTTAGTCAGATCTAAAGAAAAAGCTTCTGAGATACCCTTCATTCCATATTATCCTCCTCCTCTGATTTCCATCCAAAAATCACTTTTTCCACCAACTCCCCAACCTAAAACTTGGGTAACCTTGTTACGTCCAAAGCACAGACTTAATGTTGATCATTTATTTCAAACTTTTTTGCAAGAAATACATATGTATTTAGGTACTGTTCAGAAGAAATGCTCAGCAACAATGGATGCCAAAGAATCTGACATCATCTGGAACGGATTCATCAACAGATTCAACACTGTAGCTTCAAATCTGAAGAACGTCTGTTCTGATGATGCAAAGCTCAGATTTGCTGAGGCTGCAAGAGCTATATTATGGACTGTCAACAAAACTGAACCTATGCTTCGTTTAGATACGCCTCCACCATCAACAGAATCTACTGATAATGCATTGGCTATGACTCTGGTAGACCCTTCTCCAGGATCTACAGAACCAATGGAAATTGACTCTGTTCAGGCTACAGAACCTCCTCATAATTCTTCATCTGAGATAAAGAAAGAACATCCAGATTTTGAAGATAAGATTGCTGCTCTGGAAGCTGGACAGTCAGAGATCAAATCCTGGATGGCTAAGTAGGATAAGAAGTCTGAGGATATGACAGAATGGATGTCAAAGCAAGATGAAAAGAATGAAACTATGACTAAGTGGATGTCCAAGCAAGAGCAATCCTCCTCTGAGATTACAGATCTATTGAAGATGCTTTTGTCCAAACACTCTTAGATTTTTTTTCTAATGTTTTTGCATCTGTTGTTTGCATCCGTACCTTATTGCTATATCTTCTGATGTTTGCCTATGTACTCTTGATCTGATCTTTTGAATGAATCAAAGTTTTCTCCATTGAATTATCTTATTTACTGTTTCCTTTTATTTGTCCTTTTAAAAGTTTTTACTTTTTGCTTATGACAAAAAAGGGGGAGAAAATATAGATCTAAACTGTTTAATATAACTTCACTAGAATGAATCTTTAGACATATCTATTCTATCTAACATCTAAACTGACTATTTCAGAACATTTGATAAGTACAATTTATAAAAGAAACTCTGAGTCTCTCAGATCACTTGTCTATTTATCAAACTCTGAATCTTAAATCTGCAAGACATTCTGACCTTCAAATGTTATAAGAACAAACAAGATCTAACTCTGAAGATTACTCAAGACAAAAGGGAAGTTTCTATTCCTTTTTTATATTTAACTCAGGGGGAGATTCATCATCTCAGGGAGAGTTATAATTCTATATGTTCAGTTAAACAAAATTTCTGATACTTTTTGTCATCATCAAAAAGGGGGAGATTGTTAGAACACAGATTGGTTCTTAATAATAACTCTTTATTTTGATGATAACTGTTAGGAAATTTTATATTTAAGAATTATATACTCTAAAATTTGCTTGTAAGTTTTACTGCAGATTGAAATGAAATTAACTCTCTAGAAGCAAATCTGAATTGTATACAAGAAGTTATCTAGACTCTGAAGCGCCAGATGCATTCATTAGAAGATTCTGATTGCTGTTTACAGAAGATCCTGAGCGTAGTCTCCAGAAGGATCTGAAGCAAGAAGCTCCAGAAGATTCTGAAGCTAGTCAGAAGCATCTGAAGCAAGAAGCTCCAGAAGATTCTGTAGCTAGTCAGAAGCATCTGAAGCTAAGAAGAATATTGTATGAAGAGTTTCTCAAAGCATAGTTTCTACAGAAGTTTCTGAAAGTACTAACGCTGCCAAGTACTGAAGTTCTGTGTCAAATATGCTCTGATGATCAACACGCTGAAAGCACACATGCTGCAGAAGACTCTGATACAGCAAAGTTCTGAACATCATTAGAAGACTCTGACTCAATCAGACTCTGAAGAAGAAATATTCAAAGAATATATCCGTTGGAGTAAATCAAACGTCTCTTTCCTCATTTGTGCTAGACACAAGAACACAGACAAAAAGGATTTTTCTGTGCTATCTACTTCTAGGAAAGGTCACTTGATGTGAAGACAAAAAGGCTCAGACCTTTTTGTGACTCTCTTCTCAACGCTCAACTTCCTTGGATCAGCTGCCTATAAAAGGAAGACTTCACCAAATTCTTCAGTAACACAATTTGCTGAAAAGAATTCATAATATTCAAAGCTCTCATTCTTTCATATTCTTATTAGAATTTCTTGTACTTAAACTTAAGAGAAAAACCACTGTTGTGATAAAAGCTTTATAGAAGCATTAATACTCTTGTATTTGATTTACATTGATTGTAAAGGTTTTCCTTAAGAGGATTCAGTTGGAATCAGTAGCTCTTGAGAAGACTAAGAACAGTTGTTCTTAGGTGTTACTATTGTAATCTGTTTGATTAAATAGTGGATTAAGTCCTTGTTGAGAAAGGCAAATCACTCTAGGAAGGGTGGACTGGAGTAGTTGATTTCAACGAACCAGGATAAAAATAATTGTGTTATTATTTTTTAAGTCTTAATCTTTCATACTTATTCAACCCCCCTTCTAAGTATTATCTCACCTTCAATTTTTTCTCTAAACAATCAGTTTAGGTAAAGTTTCTTGTTGTGTGCTTGAGCATTGAAGTTTTGAATCTGAGGGGTTTAAGCAAGGAAGTCTTAGATTTGTGGAATCTAAGCAGGAAAATCTTAGGTTGTGAGTTTGAGCAGGAAGTCTTGTACTTGAGGGTATAAGCAGGAAAGTCTTAGGATCTAAGCAGAAAGTCTTGATCAGGTGCTAATTAAGCGAGGAAGACTTAGGTTGCAGGTCTGGGCAAGAGAAAGTCTTATACTTGAGGGTATAAGCAATTGTAATCTGTTTAATTATAGTGGAAATATTTTGTGCTACAAGGCGGCTGAACTACTCTCAGTTGGAGAGGAGACAAGATAACTTTTGTGTGTTCTTTGCCTTTTTATTTACTTCTGTTATTTTATCTGCTACAACTTGTTAATCAGATTCTAAACTTATGTTTAGATTATGAATTCTGGTTCAGAAGTAAATGATTTGGCATACACAATTCAATCCCATTTCTTGTGCATTTTTCTCATCTTCAACTCCATCACATATCGTAGTAAATATATTGCTTCTATCGCCGACCTCCCAAATATAAAGCCAAATTGATTCTCTATGTCTTGAGTCTCTTTTATTAATCTCCATTCAATAAATCCTTCTCATAAATCTTGCATATGTTAGCTTTACTATATACAACTAGTCCCAAACATAAATAAAAGGAGAGTCGTGTTAGACAATTGCTAACTAATATAAAATTTTGTCGAAACTCTATGACGTAATTTATTTTAAAAAAATTAAAATAAGATAAATTTTATAAACAAAGCAATTTAGTTTTCAGATGCTATAAAAGAAATTTAGTTTTCAAATTAAAATAATTAATATTTTAAAAATATGAGGAATTTATTTTTTTTATTCTAAAATTATTTCATAAAGTAATTTTTTCCCCTTATAAATATATTAAATAATTAATATATTTGGACAATATATAAATTTAATTATTTGTTTAAGAGTATAATTGGTATTGCACTAAAAGTGTAAAATGTCATTCAATAGAAATTCATCAATTTTTCATGTCATATCATTTATTTAAAGTTATAATATAATATGACGGAATACGTAAAAATGATTGATTGTTGGTGCATATTTCATTTTCTATTTATTCAATGTATTTAAAATTTTTTTTTTTTTATAATTGAGAAAAAATATTAATATTTGTTTGGGATTTGAATCTATTCTTTGAATTAGAGACAATACACTAAATGCAATTATCTTTTCCAAACATGTCCTCTTTATCCAATTTGGTCATTATCATCCCTTCAATGAAACAAAACATCAAATTTCAAACAAACAATCTTTGTACTTTTGTCATTAACATTTGAAAACGACATCCTAATACCTGTCAAACTCCCGTTTGTTAATTTCCATTTCATTATTACAACTTATTCTTCTTCCCTTCTCTTTTCATCACACTAGTAATTTATTTTTCCTTTCCCTTTCAAAATTCTCAATTTATCAACCTAACTTCAACACAATAGTTTTATTCATTTTTTTAATACACTATTGGTGAGGTCCACCCCCAACAAATAGTGGATGCAACTTCTATGGTTTCCAACTGAAAAAAAGTGCGTTTGAAAAAAAGTTAAAGCCATTTACTTTCCCTTTCACCAAAGTTTCAATTTTTAACTTAGATCCATCCACCTTTCATCTTCGAAATCAAACCCTTCATTTGTTTCTGCAGATTCAATACAACCCACAACTCATCTATCTCTCTCTGCTGATTTCACGAACCAGCTAAGTACACAATTTCAGAGTGGTCAATTTTTCTTTTCTGGTCAAATTTTTTGTACCCATTTGATGGTGAACAAAAGAGTACTTGAATAAAACCATTTATTGCTTTTCTATTTCTGAAGAATACAAATCTTGACTTAGATTTTGTCAATGGGAAGGACAACCCATTAATCTTATTTTTTATTTTTTACTATTGTGGTATAAAAAAACTGTAATTTTGATGTTGATTGGGTTTATTTTCTACTAGGGTAGACAAAAAGGGGCTAAATGAAAAAAAAAGTTTTGTTTTTTATTTCTGGGGTTAGGGTATTTGGAGTTTGAGGGTAGTAGTGGAATGTGACGACCAGTAGGTAAAAAAGCTTATCTTTTTTCCTTTGCCCCCAATTTGCAAAGGTTTGATTTTGAAGGGAGATTATATAGTGTTGCTGTAGTGGAGATCTGGGATTTGTTTCGTGTATTATGCCCTATGAGGACTTTCTTCCCTGCAGAATCATCTAAGGAGGAGCACTCAAGTTCTCTTAATCCTCAATCATGGCTTCAAGTTGAAAGAGGGAAGCATCCCAAATTGTCATCAATGTAAGTTTTATTCATTTTTTCTGGTTTAATTTTTAGTTCGAAGCCTAATTTTTTAGATAATTCACTGAATTAAGTTGTTTGATTTGATTTTAATCACTATAGAGAATCTCTAATCAAAGTCCAGCAGCCACCTGTGCTACCGTTCTTTAAACCTGTTGATTATGTCGAAGTTTTGGCTCAAATCCATGAAGAACTCGAGTCATGTTCTTCTCAGGAACAGTCGAATCTGTTTCTGTTTCAGTATCAGGTCTTTAAAGGCCTTGGAGATGTTAAACTGATGCAAAGAAGTCTCCGGGAAGCATGGCGGAGGGCGAATAGTGTTCATGAGAAGATTGTATTTGGGGCATGGTTGAAATATGAGAAGCAAGGTGAAGAGTTAATTGCTGGTTTGTTGACAGGTAAACGTCAAAACGAATATGGGCCGATAGATGTGCAATCTCATGTTTCTGATGTAACGGTAAGTTCCCAGGAGAAGGTCTTGATGAATGGGAACAACACTTCACCGTATGTTGTTTTTACGATTGGGGATGAGAAGATAGTGTGTGATAGACAAAAGTTTTCTGAACTCTCGGCGCCGTTTCACACAATGTTAAATGGGGTTTTCTGTGAATCGGTTTCGGAGGCTATAGATTTGTCTGAAAATAATATATCTTCTTCGGGTATGAGGGCAATAAGTTATTTCAGTATGACTGGTACTTTACTTGAACAACTCTCTCCGAAGCTTTTGCTTGAGATATTAGTTTTCGCTAACAAGTATTGCTGTGATAGATTGAAAGACGCATGTGATAGAAGACTTGCAACGTTAGTTACTTCGAAAGAAGACGCCGTCGAGCTCATGGAATATGCTCTCGACGAGAATTCAACTGTCCTTGCAGCTTCTTGTTTACAAATCCTTTTACGTGATCTTCCCCACTGCTTGAGCGATAGTCGGGTGGTTGATTTATTTCTTCACCCTAATAAGCAGCAGTTGGCAGTTATGGTTGGTCCAGGTTTATATGCACTTTTCTGCTTCTTAAGCGAAGTTTCTATGAACGTTAGTTCTAGTTCAGACACAACAGTTAATTTTCTGGAAAGGTTAGCTGATTTTGCTGAAAACGACAAGGAAAGACTGTTAGCGTTTCATCGATTGGGATGTATAAGGCTCTTGCGGAAAGAATACGACGAAGCTCGTTGCCTTTTTGAGAGAGCTGTTAAAGCAGGTCATATTTATTCTGTTGCCGGTTTAGCTCGACTCGACTCTATACAAGGGGAGGGGCATATATCTTATGAGAAGATCAGCTCGGTCATTTCTCCTGTCACTCGACTTGGATGGATGTACCAAGAAAGGTCACTTTATTGTGACGGTGATTTGAGGTGGAAAGACCTTGAGAAAGCAACTGAATTGGACCCTACTCTTGTATATCCCTACATGTATAGGGCTGCATCTTTAATGTGGACAGAGAATTCTCAAGGCGCACTTGCTGAAATAAATCGGATACTTGGCTTCAAGCTTTCGTTAGAATGCTTGGAATTGCGGTTTTTTATCTATCTGGCTCTCGAGGATTACAAAGCAGCCCTTCGCGATGTTCAAGCAGTTCTTACTCTTTCTCCAAATTATAGAATGTTTGAGGGACGCGTAGCTGCTTCTCAACTCCGTACTCTAGTGCTTGAACACGTTGAACATTTGACGACGGCAGATTGTTGGGCACAATTATATGACTGTTGGTCTGCTGTTGATGATATTGAGTCGTTGTCTGTTATTTACCAGATGCTGGAATCTGATGCGGCAAAAGGTGTTCTATACTTCAGACAGTCATTGCTTCTTCTAAGGTATGATATGAACGAATGTGTGGTAATTGTTTTACTTGTAAGTTGTAAAAAATTGTAGAATTCTCCGTTCACTTGAAAGTCACTATTTATGTAGCACCGACACTTTAGACTGTGTCCGACATGTGTCAGTGCCAACTAGTAAAAGAATCTGACATTTATTTGATTTAGGTTAAACTGTCCTGAGGCTGCCATGCGGAGTTTACAGTTAGCTTGGCAACATGCATCAAGTGAGCATGAACGACTTGTATACGAGGGGTGGATCTTGTATGATACCGGTCATTATGAGGAAGGGCTCCAAAAAGCTGAAGAGTCTATTTGTATTAAAAGGTCTTTTGAGGCCTTTTTCCTGAAGGCATATGCATTGGCCGACTCCGGTCTTGGTTCAATATGTTCTTCAACTGTTATTTCACTTCTTGAAGATGCCTTGAGGTGTCCTTCCGATAATCTGCGCAAAGGTCAGGTACGGTTTTTCTATTGTACCACCTTCTTCGAAACATTTCACTAATCAACAACCAGTGACCATACACAGGTTAAGTATTAACTTACATTTGTAAAAAGAACCGACGATTTTCCCTATTTTGGAAATTAATTAGCAGTTATTCGTAACTTTGTAAGAGTTCCGATGATGCAACATTAGGAATTCTGATGTGTAGGCTCTAGGTAACACCGATTATGTATTAACTTAAGAGTTTTGGTATTATTTTGTTCCATTTAATCTACCAGGCCTTGAACAATCTTGGAAGTGTTTTTGTCGACCATGGGAAACTGGACCAAGCAGCCGATTGCTATATCAAAGCCTTAAAAATCCATCACACTCGAGCCCATCAGGGTCTTGCGCGTGTTCATTTTCTTAAAAACGACAAGGCTGCTGCTTACAAGGAAATGACTGAACTTATTGAGAAGGCAAAAAGCAACGCGTCGGCGTATGAAAAGAGATCCGAGTACGGCGATCGTGATCTTACAAAGGCAGATCTAGAGATGGTCACTCGATTAGATCCGCTTCGCGTCTATCCTTATCGATATCGAGCCGCAGGTTGATATTTTAACTTTCTTAACCGTTAGGATTATAATTATGTTATCACGGCTAGTACTTGATAAACACAGTGTATACGGTGAATGTGATTGCAGTTTTGATGGACAACCATAAGGAACAGGAAGCCATTGCGGAGCTATCAAGAGCAATAGCATTTAAAGCTGATTTACACCTCTTACATCTCCGCGCGGCATTCCATGAACACAAAGGCGATGTGCTAAGTGCGTTAAGAGACTGTCGAGCCGCACTCTCGGTGGATCCAAACCATCAAGAAATGTTGGAACTTCACACCCGTGTTAACAGCCATGAACCGTGAGGAGTCGCATCGAAAACTAAATTTGTAAATGCAAAGTATAGTTGAAATGAATGATTAGAGCCATCTGTATACTCTGTTGTAATGAACATGTCATGATATCATTTTCCTTTCCAAGGAGGGGATGCCCAAATTTTGTAATTTATATACTTGCTATCTTTTGAAAATGTGTTATGAATACCAGATACATGTATTTTATTACTGCATCTCTTTTTTCTGGGAGTGTATTCATATTCTTCTGAAGTTTATTACTACAAAGTTTAAAAGAAATATCTTTGATTGTTTCAATTATTTTTATGCACTCTAAATGCATTACACACCAATCTAGTTGTCATTATACACTTCAACAAAACTGTTTTACTAAAACAAAATATAAAATACACTATTGACGGTGCTCGTATTCTTTTGTTAAATGTCAATGTCAAAGTACCTATCAAGTTTTTGGGTAATGTTTGTTTTTACTGCAGAATATTAAATAAACCAGAATTTCACCTGTCACCTCCTAAATTATATTTTTAAATTTTTATAATTTTAAAACTGCCATTGAAAAAATTTGAAATAAATGAAATTTTTTTACAGTATCATAAATTTTGAAATTTTCAGTAATCTGTAAAAATTTTCAAAAATTTTAAAATTGGTGGTATTGTATTAGAAATTTCGAAATTTTTGGTTGTATAAAAAATCTAATTTTTTTTACATTACTATCAATTTTGAAATTAGTGGTACAATATTGAAAATTTTTTCCGGAAGTTTTAAAATTTCTGATTTTTTTTTTCGGAATTTTTCATTTTTTACCGGAAATTTTGATAAAAAATAAAAATTTTCAAAATTTTCGGTATATATTACAAAATTTACGGTATACCCCCTATAAATTTCATAATTTTCAAAATTTTTTGAAAGGACAAAAATGAAATTTCCCCATAATTGAGGGTGTCAAGTATAAGTGAGGGAGTGACAGGTAGAATCCTCTAAATAAATCGGATCAGAGTTGTCATCTTAAATAGTAGTGTGAGATGATTGTTGATGAAATAATCTAGTGCGAAATTTTAAATTTGATGAAACATCAGTCATAGTGATGACTATCATACAATACTTCCATTGAATCGTATAAGCTGTAAATCTCCTCATACATTAAATACTTAATGCACATATATATTGACAATATCTCAGCTATCTCTCCCCCTTTGTCAAATATAAAAAAGGAGAGAGTCATACCAAAAAAAAAACACACAAAGAATCCAAGTTAACATAAAAGGCAAAACTAAATGCCACACTTAGTGACTCCTAAATGCAGCCATACACATCGCATATAGGAATTAACATGATGATGAAATAAAGTTTGAAAAAAATGAAAAGAGATGAAAAGAAAGTGAAATACGTGACTCTTCAAATTTGATTCAGATCAAGTATACAATTTGATTCAAATCAAATCGATCAGATTTGAAACTCACCAAAAGTGATTCGAATCACAGGCCAAGTGTAAAGATTTTGATTCAAATTAAAATCAAACGTCTCAAGTCCCAGGAAATTGATTCAAATCATGGGTTTAGTTTAAAACCAATGATTCGATATGAAGGCCAATATTTGAAATTTTTTAAGGAAAGTGAGACTTTTACACAACACCAAAACACTTGAAAAATCTTTTTTTTTTAAATGTAGATCAGAGAAAATAAATGTTATGTTATGAATGAAAAAATGATCGAGCCTTTTTATAGTGCAAATGCTAAAATGATTTTTTTTAATGTAAATGCATAAATTATTTTTAATATAGGTAATAATGGGGATGCATGAATGTATGAATGATGCAGATGAATCCAATGAACGGATGACATAATTGATAAACCAATGCGTTGAATGATTTAGCCTGTGTGATTCCTAAGCTCAACTCGGTGTAAAAGCTCTGTCAGTTTGAGATTATCCTATGTAAAATTTTATCTTGGTTTCTGAGCTCATCCTGGTGTAAAATTTGTTGAGAATAATAAAGTCAAGTGTGAGTTGGAGTCCCACATTGATTATAAATGTGGATAGTTGAGCATTTATAAGTGGGAGAACCCATGCACCTATCACCTTAAGGTTTTGGGTGAATATGTGGTGTCTCTCTCACTTGTGTTGCTCTTGACCCAATGTTGATGCTCCTTCTCATACCCCAACAAATAGTATCAGAGCATAGTTCATAAAAGGACCAACTTACTTATATCGAAATGCCTATGAAGAGGTGTCCCGTTGAAATCATAATGTCCATGAAAAGGTGTATCAAAATGCCTAGTAAGAGGTGCCTAGTAATATGTGTCAACGACGGTACAAGTGTATGTGGACAAAAGAGATTTCACTTTAGGGGGAATATTGTAGACTCACACTTGAGGGGGAGCGTTGCCCCAATGTTGACGCTCCTTCTCATACCCCAACAAAACTCTGTTAATTTGAGATTAGCCTGTGTGAAATCTCATATTGGTTTGAGGTCAGCCCATGTAAAACCCCAATTTGATTCAAAGGATAACCATTCAAAGGATAACCAACATGAAACTACTCAATTCGAAGGATAGCTAGTGTAAAACTCCAACCTTGGTTCAAGATCAACCAGTCGAAAATCTCAGTTTGGCCTGGAGGATAGCCACTTTAAACTCTATTTATTATTTGGTTGGAAGTTAGTCTTTAAACTTCATATACTTATAAAAGAAGGTTTGTGGGCATATCCTATTGAAAGCTCTCAGGATTAGTGGATACTCTAAAGAATTTTTTTTAGGCACAGGAGTATGCCAAGTTATTAGGCTGAACCTATATAAATCTCTGGTGTCTTTCTCTCCCCCTTATCTATTTTAGTTTTCAGTTATTTTCTTTCTTTTGTTTTTCCTTCGATCTCTTTTTCGCTGCATATTTGCTTGTTTTCAAACTCTGATTTTTCAAATAACTTTGTTTTGAGTCAATGTTTTCAAACCTCAACAATCCAACCTCTTGTGGATATATTCACATGTTCAACAATATTGACATGTACTTCATTTGGATTTCAATAATGCATAATATCTTAAGGACTTAGGTGTGAATATTTACTTTGAGAAACCTCATGGGTTTGTTGCTAAGGAGGAATGCAATATGGTAGGTAAACTGTGTGGTTCTATGTGGTTAACAAGCTTTACAGATTTTGATGATGACAAAGATGATCGAAGTAAGATGTCATAAAACATCATCAAAGAGTGAAAAAAACAACTTAAATAAAAAAGTGAGAAAGTTTTGATGATTGGCTTAAAAGAATCCAATGGAAAAGAACAACGTCAAGAATCTGACTTATCCACGAAATACTCATCATTTGATCATATGCTCAACTTGTCTTATCTTTTATAGAATCAATTATGTAAATTGAATGTGTTACTCTCAAAATAATAAGGACATACACACTTACAAAATCTATTTCAAACTTCTTCTGAAAATCACATTGAAAATTGCCAAACCTTTTGAAAATTAAGAATAATTCATTAGGAAGTTTGTATAATCAATTATGAAGTGAAATTCATCATGTAATCCAGTATATCAGTTGTAAAATCGATTATGAGCCAAAATATGCTCAATAATAATTATGAAGACCTAGTAATCGATTATACTTCAGATCCAACAAAACTTTCCTTACTTGCTTCTATAAAAGTGGGTCTTGTGATCATTTCAAAACACAAAATAACTATGACTAGTTATTAGGCCGAACCTATATAAATCTCTGGTGTCTTTCTCTCCCCCTTATCTATTTTAGTTTTCAGTTATTTTCTTTCTTTTGTTTTTCCTTCGATCTCTTTTTCGCTGCATATTTGCTTGTTTTCAAACTCTGATTTTTCAAATAACTTTGTTTTGAGTCAATGTTTTCAAACCTCAACAATCCAACCTCTTGTGGATATATTCACATGTTCAACAATATTGACATGTACTTCATTTGGATTTCAATAATGCATAATATCTTAAGGACTTAGGTGTGAATATTTACTTTGAGAAACCTCATGGGTTTGTTGCTAAGGAGGAATGCAATATGGTAGGTAAACTGTGTGGTTCTATGTGGTTAACAAGCTTTACAGATTTTGATGATGACAAAGATGATCGAAGTAAGATGTCATAAAACATCATCAAAGAGTGAAAAAAACAACTTAAATAAAAAAGTGAGAAAGTTTTGATGATTGGCTTAAAAGAATCCAATGGAAAAGAACAACGTCAAGAATCTGACTTATCCACGAAATACTCATCATTTGATCATATGCTCAACTTGTCTTATCTTTTATAGAATCAATTATGTAAATTGAATGTGTTACTCTCAAAATAATAAGGACATACACACTTACAAAATCTATTTCAAACTTCTTCTGAAAATCACATTGAAAATTGCCAAACCTTTTGAAAATCAAGAATAATTCATTAGGAAGTTTGTATAATCAATTATGAAGTGAAATTCATCATGTAATCCAGTATATCAGTTGTAAAATCGATTATGAGCCAAAATATGCTCAATAATAATTATGAAGACCTAGTAATCGATTATACTTCAGATCCAACAAAACTTTCCTTACTTGCTTCTATAAAAGTGGGTCTTGTGATCATTTCAAAACACAAAATAACTATGACTAGTTATTAGGCCGAACCTATATAAATCTCTGGTGTCTTTCTCTCCCCCTTATCTATTTTAGTTTTCAGTTATTTTCTTTATTTTGTTTTTCCTTCGATCTCTTTTTCGCTGCATATTTGCTTGTTTTCAAACTCTGATTTTCCAAATAACTTTGTTTTGAGTCAATGTTTTCAAACCTCAACAATCCAACCTCTTGTGGATATATTCACATGTTCAACAATATTGACATGTACTTCATTTGGATTTCAATAATGCATCATATCTTAAGGACTTAGGGGTGAATATTTACTTTGAGAAACCTCATGGGTTTGTTGCTAAGGAGGAATGCAATATGGTAGGTAAACTGTGTGGTTCTATGTGGTTAACAAGCTTTACAGATTTTGATGATGACAAAGATGATCAAAGT